TAATGTCAGTATAAAATTATTTTAAATCTTTTACATTTGAATATACTGAAAATATTATTAATGCTATTCATAAAGTAAAATATTAAATAATCATAATTCACACTATGTGAAATGTTAATGTGAAGATGATAGATGCATGATTAGCAAAATGCAGCTTAAAGGCAGATTTATATCATACAAAAACTTTTCTATATAAAATAGATTTTTACGTATAAACTTTATAATTTGTGTCGCACTTACATTTAAGTCTTTATATTTTGGTAATAATGCTGTATATTATGTAATTTGTTTCTCATAACAATTATATTCATCATTTAAATTATATTTATTAATATTTTAAATATATTAATAACATTTAAATTATATGAGCTTTATATTAAGCCAATGCATGCTTATATCAGAAATAAACATTAAAGGCACATATCAAGAGTACTATATAATCATATTCGACTATATAGATAATATAAGTTACCTCCATCTTGAATTGATTTGTCTAATTCGCTGTCAAAAGCCAGTTCTTGATATAAAAGATCAGGATTCTCTACTAATTAGAGCAAATATAATTAATGTTATAATTTGATGTCAATAAATCAAAGTTTGCAATCAGTCTTATTTATCTGCATTTTACATATGAGAAGGATGATTGTGGCAGAATGTAGATGCAATGAATAATATATATCAAAAACTCTTCATTTAGTGTAACATAATTTTCAACTTTCGATATAACTTCAAAGATGTGAATGTGTCTATATAAAATTAACAATACACAACATGCATAAAATTATTTTATACTGAAAGATACCTTTAGCTTTGGAGTAATTATTATTTTGTTGAATTGGAATTTGTACGTCTGTAAAACATGTTGAGGAGTGTCATTGTATACAAAATTAATATCAAAATATGTTATGACAATGACTGAATAAAATTGAACCTTCATCAAACCTTCACCAACAAATTCTAATGTATCACATCAATACACATGTATTAAATTTAAACTCTTACCATCAGTAATACGTAATTGTGACACGTCTAGAGGTGGCACTAAATCTGGTTGGATTGTAATGGCCTTACGAACTTGTCCGACATTCGCTAAAAGCTAAGAAAAACATAAAAATAATAAGAATATATTGTACATATTAACATATTGTACATATTATATATTGTACATATTATTGTACATAATACATGAGATACTCACTGCGCGATTACTTTCTCTCCAGCGTGATACAGCGGTGTTATCATTGATGTTCATTGCCACCAATTTTGCATCTTGAACCATTGGAGCGACACCTATTAAACATTGTAGAAAATTAAAAAAGAAAATTATTGCAAACATTGTATCTTTAAAGAAAGAACGATCTTCTTTAGAAGTGTACTTACTGTTTTGAAGAATGTTGGTAGCATGATTTACTCTCTGTATAAAGGCAGGATCTTCGCTATTATCACTTTCTTGTTTCGCAACAAGTATAACTCGATTCGCGAGACGTGCGATAGATGCCGTGTTGTCAACCATTTTTTGTGGCAGAGCCTTGGCAATAGCTTCCTCACAAAGGAACGTATGTTTCTGCATCTGCTCTTCGGAAATTCTAATAAAATCGCCGCTGTCGGTCGCTTCGTCACATAAAGCTCGCGCTCTTTGCATCGTCTCCGCATATTGTTGTCGTAAATTCTCAAAATGTTCGTCCGCGGCTTTGCTGTCTGGATATGTCATGCGAATTCGTCCAGCATTAATCAGCTGCGGTGTCAAAGATTCCACTTGTGAAGCACTGGCAGCCAACGCTTCTGCCAACTTTTTGTTTCCGCCACTTCCTATAAATAATGCGACGTGATTAAGCTCCCTTACAGAAAAATCAGTAAACTATTTTACATAGTGCAAAGTTATGATAAAAATTGTTACTTACCGCCAGCCGCGACCATTCTTGCAGTCTTTGCCGCTCTATTCGAGAATGTTTGTAACGCGCATGTTTTGTCGTTAAAGTTTTGATCGCGTCCAAGTGTGTTAGCTGGAGCTAAAACCGCATCCGTAAATTGCTTGAGAGGTGTACTGATATCAATAAAATCTTCAACGACGCGAGACACAACAGCTTGCTGTATTCGATTTTTCAGTTCGTAAAGTTTGTGCGACAATTGCCGGGCGATTTCCTGAGCGCGCGGAGTGTTACCCTGTCCATGAGCACAGAGATCGGCAAGCTGATGCGACAAGTTGTCTACCTCGTCGCACAATTGTAAAATCTCAGCCTTGTGTATACCTGGTAAACCTTCGGCCACCTGTTTTCAAACATAAAATTATTGATGCTAAAAGGAATTGTCAAGTCTTTCAGAAAAAAAAAAATTATATATAAATGCTTAGACAGTTCCGCACACCTAAAAAGATAACTAAAAGTTTACAAACTCACATTTGCTACAGGTTGCTCATTCTTTCTATGCGCAGCATTGAAGATATTAAGTATTATAGAAAGTTTTTTTTAGAAAGATGTTCATATGTTTAAATTGAAAAGTTTATATGAAAACTTGAATGTGGATAATACATGCTCTTTGTATTCACTATGTATTCACTATATATTCACTTGTAGTACAGAATTGCAAGAGAAATGATACGTGTTGATTTTATATTTAAAAAATTAGTTATACATCATACCTTTTTTCCTTCGTGTATTATTAAAGCTATAGCCCTTTTACCAAGTCCCTTGTCATCATGCTGTGGATTCAGAAGCCATTTATTTGCTTGTTCTAATCGACCGGCTACTGTATGTGCTGTTTGTGCAGATCCCGATTTATCTGCTGCTACTAAAGCAGATGCTACCGAGCCGCGAAGTTCGTTTAATTTCTCTTTAATACTGCGTGCTAAGGCTTCCGCTTGTGGTGTAGTGCCTTTGTAGAGACAATGTAGAAGTATATATAACTAATTATTTAATTTAAATTGAATCTTACGTCTGCTCTAGACGAAAAGATTCTTAGAATATATATATATAGTGTGTCGTGTGTTAATGCTATAATAACATAAATCATAACATAAAGCTGGAGTAACCTTTATCATATTGGCGTAGTTCGCAGAGAGCATCGGTCATAGTAGCAATTTGAGATGTTAATTTAGACATGGATTCTGCCTGCGACGGAGGTAGATACCGTTCTGCCAAACGTGATGCTTGTTCTATTATTTGACGAAGACTTTTTTCTCCAACACCACCTCTTAGGGCCAGTCCGTCGTCCAACCAATCGTAAGCAGCTCGTATTCTCGATTCTATAGCACTTTGAGCTTTTTTTAGCACCTAACAGCAACACAATTACAGTATTATGCTTTTACTATCTTTTCCATTCTCTTTCGTGATTTGATAAATCAGATAATAAAAACTGATTTACAGTTAATTGATCAGCGTCCCATTCTTCTTCGTCATATGTTGTAAGTTGTAACACTCGAATAATCTCGTTTAATTCATCAGACATTCTCCCAGACAAGTAATTACGATTTTCTGCTGCTTCTTCTGCACCTTTTCCACCTTGTGAAATAATATGGATGAAAATTTTCATGGAACAGATCAAAATTGGAGCAAGTGTCTTCACCTATAAACACATGTTTACAAATATATTACCAATAAACAAATAAACTGGACTAAATAATAACATTGCAATGCATTGTAAATTACATTATTTAATGCTTACTTGTTCTAAGCAACGCACTAATATTTCCCTATGCACTTGATGTGTTAATTCTTTCTCGCGTGCGCTTACTTCCCTTGATACCTTACTAAGGCACGGGCTTAAATTCTTTAGAAAATGTACCAAATCCTCCATTGTTTCAATAACTTCAGTAACAGCTAGATAATCTAGTACGCGTTTACATTCTCGTATAATTTTTCGTACTTCACTCTCATCGAAACAGAGTAGCAAGGAACTGGTACCTTGCAAAATACCACGTGATCCTTCTATAAGTTTCTTTCTAAAATGAGAAATATAATATATATATATATATATATATATATATATATACATGTATATAATTTTTGCATTAAACTTCATATGAGTGATTTTATCTAAAAGTTTCCATAAATTACCTGGCAGAACCAGAATATGGATCTTGTTTCAACATGGCTGAAGCTTCTTCCAAAAGACGAGAAGCACCCTCAACACGTTGTAGTGCTGCTGGCATATCTTGCTTAAGCAAAGCATCATCGGAAGAGTTTATTGTTTCTTTTCCTACCTATAAAAAAAAGAAATAAATAGTAAAAGATACATACTATAATTAAATTTGTACAAATATTTTAAAAACTTTTAAATATAAAATTTAGAAAATTAATTTTAATAAGAATGCATATTAATTAATAAATTGTAATATATAAAAGTTATAATTTCATATAAACTTACTTTCACAAGATTGGTCACAGCCATACTGACGGCCTGTACAGGCCGTCCCAAATCTGGCATTGCATTTCCATCTTCAGCTTCTTCATGTAAAATGACAAGTCTCGAAACCTTTATATAAAATAAACAAATATATGTAAGTATATATATATATTTATATTTATACAGGGTGTCTTACAGGTGTTGTTTAATACATTACAATTCATGAATGATAGGATAGGTAATAGGATAAAAATGTAATGACACTTTTTTATCATGTTTTTGTATGTAGAATGTCACTGTGAAAAAATAAATTTTTTTATCTTCAAGTTTTCAAGGTCATAAGATCATTTTGTTTTTTATATGGAATGCTATATATTTTTGTTTTGATATTAAAATACAGAAAAAAACAGTTCAAAATGTTGTCCATAAAAAAGAAAACATATATTCCATCTAAAAAAAATGTAAAATGACCTTGTTAAAGATAAAGCACTTTGTTGAAGATAAAATTCTTTTCTCATAGCAATATTCTACATGATAAAAAAATGTTTTTATTTTTCTCCTATTACCTACTGTTCAAGAATTATATCAAATGGCTTATCGTGGGACATCCTGTATAATAATAGTTATCATACTTTTTTTAGTATATACTTTTTTATTTTATATAAATCATATACATATATATATATATATATATACATATATATACAGGGTGTCCCAGAATTGCCGTACAATCTCTCGTAGGCAGGTAGAAGGAGTAAAACTGAGTCGAAAAGTCCTGAACCATTTTTTTCTATTACTTATAATAAAGGAGTAATTATTGAGTAAATCAGGCCAATCAGCGCAGATCTTTAGCCAGACGCACGTCAGTGAGCCGCGCGCCTGGTGTGTGTGAGTGCTCACTGACGTGTGCCCGGCTAAAGGTCTGCGCTGATTGGCCTGATTTACTCAATAATTACTCCTTTATTATAAATAATAGAAAAAAATGGTTCAGGACTTTTCGACTCAGGTTTACTCCTTCTACCTGCCTACGAAAGATTGTACGGCAATTCTGGGACACCCTGTATATATATGTTACAATATGTATGTATATACAATTATTTAAAAAGAATATTTTTTTGTTTATTCATATATGTATTTGCATAGCAAATATAAATTTTTGTGAAATATTTATATAAGAAACAAGAAATATGTATACATATACATTAAAATAGAAAATATGAAATATATATAGAAAAGCACAGAAATGTGTGAAAGAGGAAGGGCTATATATAAACATGGAAATGTTTATGTGAGAGCTGGTTCTCTCATTAATATTCTAGTATATGTGAATATGTGTGTAGGATGCTACATGGTGTGGGATGATACATGTGCCAACATGTCCTTTTTTGGAGTGATGTGAAACTAATAATGCACAACCTCCATAGACCATTCTCCATAATAACTAAAGAAGATTAAGTTTCATTTCTTTAAATGTCTGAATGATGAATTTAGTAGTTGTGTTCTATACATGAGATATGATGTCATAGTTCTATATAAAGCTTTCCAGAGAGATGAAACAAGAAGGTTATTTCGTAAATGTGATTCATGTACCAGAATATATGAGCTCTTTTCTCTATAAATACTCGATTATCCGAGATTTATTATAAAATTCATATTAAATACAATTTTTTGTAATAAATTAACAACGAAAGTGCATTGTAAGAGATTAAAAGTATATGCCATAAATAAAACCGAGCTCTCGAACTATAAAAAAACATAATATCACACAATAGAAAAACAAAACAATTCATTTTAATTGACAAGTAAATAAAGAAAATGAAAAAAGGGAAGGGGAAAGAAAACACAATTTTGACATTTTTAATTACCTGCTGAGCCACAGGCTCGAGAATACTCTCAATAGTCTTAGTATGGAAGACAGGCATTTTACTTGGTCTTTAATACCATGTAAAAGAATAAAATGAACAAAGAAAAAAGCTTTTATGCACCACGATGCACCACGTTGTGCAAGAAAACAAGAAATAAATAACTCCAAAAAATAACTCGGTGTGTCTTCAGGTTGTTTTAAATCACAACTTATTAAACTTATCCGCTATGTCAAACGTCGACTACTGTCGAGTGTGTCGACCGTCGACCGTCGACCGCATTCAACTATACTTACAACACATCCAACACCATCAAACTATCAAATATGTGGTACGTCAAGTAGTCGGCAACGTTCGTTCGTATTCGTTAATACCCGGTATTATCCGAAGCCCGTGCCGAAGCCGCACGAAGTTCGATTGCGTGGCTATCGAGAGAACCGCATGCGGCAGAAAGCCATCTATGCAGAGTTATCGTACCAGTATTCGACCCTAACCAAGCCTAGCCTAGCATCTGTAATTTTGTAATAATAAGACTGTATATATGTATATATATACGCACAGCAGAAATAAATATTAATTTTATGAAAGATGCCATCAAAACCTGCAATGGTACTTTTATGGAATCCTTATCTCTATTGTTTTTTAGTTAAAAAATTATATATTTATTATATAGGTAATTGTAAAGAGAAATATCTGTTAATATATTTAAAACAATTGTATTTCAGATCTCTAAACATAACAGCAAGAGTAAAAAGAATGCGCCAACTCTGTGCGTTCCTCCTGTAGTAACAGAAGATGAAAACAAATCAACTGGTTTGAATTCAGAGGTGGAAGATCAATTTGAACTGGAGTTATGTTGGTGCATACAACAATTGGAGGCATGTTTAGGAACTGGCAAGTTACAGAATAAACAGGCACAGGATCTCAACAAGCAGATACAAATGTTAAAGAGCAACACTGCACCATTAATAAAAAAGAGACAAATAATGAGAAATACACTGGGAGATTACAGAAAAAAAATGGCTGAGGATGAACAAAAGTTCAAAAAACTAGCTTCAACTGTTAAGTTTGCAGATCCTGCTCTTGCTAGAAAAACTATTAAAAAGTCAATATTCCTTAAGAAAGCAGTTCAACATAATGCACAGGAACATGAGGGACAAGTTGATGATCAGAAAGTACAAGATAGTGATGGAAAAACTATGTTTCAATTTAATTTTGAATTGTGTAAATAAAACTTTTTATATAAACATATATAAATTAAATAATATATAAATGTTCTTTTTAATGCCCTTTTGTGTACATACACTCATTCCACATTTTATGAATATAAATCTCTCTCCTGTTGCTTTTCTTTTTTAGTTAAGAAAGCTACATATAACATGTTTTTTGTTTTATTTATTTTATGTGTGTGTTATGTCAAATACTTGTCACATTTTGTACGTATAGATATTTATGCTTGTCGGTCATAAGTTGACGTTAAAATTGTTATTTTTAACTACGTATTTTCAATGTGGTCCTGTGGCGCAACGGATAACGCGTCTGACTACGGATCAGAAGATTCCAGGTTCGAATCCTGGCAGGATCGAGATTTATTTTTCATTTTTTTTATTTACATATTTACATTTTTTTAAGTTTGTAAAAAATGTTTTCATAAAACTTGTAACAGTTGAAATATCCGGATTGCAAATAATTGAAAGTAAAATTAAGTAAGTACATTTTTTTATAAAACAAAATAGATTTAACGCTCACAATAGTTTCAACTGTATTGTATATAATCATTATTATGTGTGTACATGATTATTTTATTACAAATAACAGTTTTGGGTGTATAATAAAAAATAATGTTTATTTTTTTTAGCTATTATCTTTCCAATTTTACAAACTCAATTTTTGGCTGTAATATTGCGTAATATGATTCAATTGGATTATAACTCGGAACTTCCCCCATTCCTTCACGATTGTAAAGTTTTTACTTTTGCTGACTCCAGCGACTAGCGATATTTGCACAGAGAGAGTTAGTTCTCGCTCGCGAATTGTGAGTGGTTGCGAGACCAGCAACGTGATCGTACAACGTGATACGACGCATCGTACCGACGACATGAGCGACAACGTGGTAGCTGACGTACAAAATCTGTCTCTGACAGAGGATAAGGCATGAATCCTCACTCTCACATAGAATTCGGAATTTTTTGCTTTTTTTATTTTTAGTATCGTTAAATCATGCTGACGAGGTTACGTTTCCGCATTTTTAGAACCGTTTACTGCGGTACTAAATGGACACATGTTCGGGTTGGTTAAGACGTATTGTTGCCTTTCCGATTTGTTTTCTTTCACCTGCAGTTGTTTTACATCGTAGATTCTAACAATATTAATCGCAATTTAGAACGCATTAGAACAAATCTTTTGTTTGCAAGTCACGTAACAATGAAAGAATCGATAATTTATCTAATGTAACCTACATACGAGTACTGTCCTCGGGAAAAACTACCTGACGCGCATCATCACCTGTGATCGTTTATTGCGTCATTCAGTTTGTCGCTTAAATTAAAACATAGTATGCAAGACGGTTTTTATATTTCAAATTGTTTATTTTCAGTCAAAATCGATGAAGGCATTAAAGAAAAAACAGGCTATAACGGAGAAGTCTTCTGTCTCTGAACTCAATCCTTGGCCGTCTTACATTGAGGTAAGAGAACTAATACAATTTGTTAGAATGTATATATGTAAATCAATATAAGTATATATTTAAAATGGAAGTTTTTATAACATTTAATAAAGCATTTATATAACGGGACATTTAAAGTATAATTTTCTTTTTTTTTGCTCTTCTGTAGGAACGTATTGCATTATGGAATAAGTTGAAAAAGGAATATGAAAATGAATTGGCGGCAAAAACTCCTGAAAATATTACTGTGACTCTTCCAGATGGCAAGGTTATATCTGCTCAATCTTGGTGTACCACTCCTTATGATATTGCAAAAAGTATTAGTCAGGGATTAGCAGACAACACTGTAATTGCAAAAGTAAATAACGAGTTATGGGATCTCGATAGGCCTTTGGAATATGATTGCAAGCTGCAGTTGTTAAAATTTGACGATGCGGAAGGTCAGCAAGTATTTTGGCATTCTAGTGCTCACATTCTTGGTGAAGCTATGGAAAGAGTTTACGGAGGTTGTCTATGTTACGGTCCTCCGATTGAGAATGGCTTTTATTATGATATGTATTTGGGCAACAAAGGCATCTCCAACAATGAGTTTTCATTTTTGGAGAGTCTGTACAAGAATATAGTCAAGGAGAAACAACCATTTGAACGGTTGGAGATGACAAAGGAAGATCTCTTGGAGATGTTCAAGTACAATGAGTTCAAAGTACGGATTATAAAAGAAAAAGTGAAAACGCCCACTACCACGGTTTACAGATGCGGTCCTTTAATAGATTTGTGTAGAGGACCGCATATCAGGCACACCGGTAAGGTCAAAGCCATCAAGATTACGAAGAACTCATCCACATACTGGGAAGGAAACGCCAATGCGGAGTCACTGCAGAGAGTTTACGGAATAAGTTTTCCAGATAATAAGCAGCTGAAGGAATGGGAGAAGTTCCAAGAAGAAGCAGCCAAGCGTGATCACAGGAAGATCGGGAAAGAACAAGAACTGTTCTTCTTTCACGAGTTGTCACCGGGTTCGTGCTTCTTCTTACCGCGCGGTGCGTACATATACAACACTCTGATCGAATTTATTCGTTCCGAGTACAGAAAGAGAGGATTCCAAGAAGTGGTCTCTCCGAATATTTATAACAGTAAATTGTGGCAAACTTCTGGACACTGGCAGCACTATGCTGAAAATATGTTCTCCTTCGACGTAGAAAAGGAAACGTTCGCACTCAAGCCCATGAATTGCCCAGGCCACTGCATGATATTCGATGTTCGATGCAGATCGTGGCGCGAACTGCCTCTCAGAATGGCAGATTTTGGCGTATTGCATCGTAATGAACTCTCGGGTGCGTTAACTGGTCTGACTAGAGTCAGGCGATTCCAGCAAGACGATGCGCACATATTCTGTTCTGTCGATCAGATCAAAGAAGAAATGATAGGCGCTCTTGACTTTTTGCGAAGTGTCTATTCTGTCTTTGGTTTCACGTTTAATCTATGCTTGTCCACGCGACCTGAGAAATTCTTAGGGGACATAGCAGTCTGGAATCAAGCGGAAAAGGCGTTAGAGGATAGCTTGAACGCGTTCGGCGAGCCATGGTCCCTTAATCCTCAAGATGGTGCATTTTACGGGCCTAAAATCGATATAACTATCTTAGACGCACTCAAAAGGGCTCATCAATGCGCTACGATACAATTAGATTTCCAACTGCCGATCAGATTCAATCTGTCTTATATCAAGTAAGTATTTATACATTTGTCGTCTATCTCTGACAAGATAATTTTGATCTATTAGTTTGTTAAAGTGATAGGGCTAAATTATAAGATGTTGCTGTTGCCTTTTTTGTCACTGTTGTAATGCTGAATAAAATCATTTATTATTGTTGTTGTTACTTACTAAAAGCTACGACACACGAGTTTTTATAAAGACTTTTTGATTGCAAATAATAAAGCTATTTTGTTTTTGCAGCGAAGCTGGAGAGAAAGCACGGCCAGTTATCATTCATAGAGCCATTCTAGGCTCTGTAGAGCGCATGATTGCAATCTTAACGGAATCGTACGGTGGAAAGTGGCCGTTTTGGCTTTCTCCTCGACAGGCAATGGTTATACCAGTGGTAACGCAATTTGACGATTATGCTCATGAAGTAAAACAGAAACTTTGGGATGCTGGCGTCATGGTCGAAATTGATACCGATCCGAGTGATACTCTGAATAAAAAAATTCGTAATGCTCAGCTTGCACAGTTTAACTTTATACTCGGTAAGTGATTTACCTATTATTTATGCAAGTTATATTTATATAAGTTATTTTCATGTTATCACTTTCTTTGTATAGTTGTTGGAGAAAAAGAACGTAATGCTGGTACAGTAAACATTAGAACAAGGGACAACGTAGTTCACGGCGAAATGGCAGTGGACGAATTGATTGAAAAATTGAAAATCTTGAAGGAAACAAGAAATCAAAGCGGCGAATTAAAATAAATTTACATCTCTTCTATATTAAAACAAATTTATTTATTTCTAAGTAAGGCATTTCGTACACGTTTATAATGATTTATTTATAAAGACTCATCTAGTGTTTTTTTTTTATTTTTTTTTTTGTACGCTAAAGTGTTCTATGTTTGTGTTTCAATCATGTTCACTTTCGACTTTTCATGTATGAGTAGAAAAATGGCAATTTTCTGTAATCAGAGAACCACAAATTTGATTATAATCGATTCTGGGGATCGAATGTATATCATGTAATATAGTGAAAATTACAAAAGTGAGCGAATTTACTAAAATATCTCTGATTTTATTGGTCAACAACTAATAAAGTTGCTCACTTTTGTAATTTTCATTACATTGCGGCTGCTTTCCTTCTAAAAGACAAATCGATACAGATTAACATACTCGAGCACAGTTTGGCTGCTTTCCTTTTAGGAGACACAGTCGACATAAGTCGACACAAGAGTCATTCTGTCTTTGTTTCTCACTGAATACTGAACGAAGACAGAATGACTTTTGTGTCGACTTGTGTCGATTGTGTCTCCTAAAGGGAAAGCAGCCTTTGACTCTTCTCCCAAGAATAGTCCGAGTGTCGATTGACGTCGATCACAATTATAAATGAAAAGCGACGTGTGGCAATTTGTGTCGGATGTGTCGATTGTATTTTCTAAAAGGAAAGCAGCGTGCATAGATACACAATCGACCCTATAATCCATATAAAAGTGACACTTCTTCATATAAAAAAAATCGGATTATTGTAACGACTTTAAAATTAAAATATTTATTGTAACTCGATAACAGTTATACTGCATACTCGAGCAAAACTAAGAAGAATTCGATCAAATTATGTATTTTTTAAGTAGTCACAAATGGATTATGTATTTTCCAATGTGTCACAAATATTGTGTTTTGCATATGCACAAAGAAAAGAAAATGATAAATATATTATGAAAGAGATTAAATTTTATGAAATGCTAAAAGATGCTGAAATGTTTATTTTTTTTTTTAATACAAAAGTCCACATTTTGAGAATTTTGAACCATCATCGCTGGTTGGTGTTGGTGGTTTGGTGCAATAATTAGGGCCTGAGCACAATAGAGAAAATAATAGGAATAAGAATTAGAAATAGAAGTTCAGTGTACTATACAGCTTATATTTATATACATTTAAATGTTATATTTTATTTTTTCGAATTGTACATTATATTTAACCTCTGTTTTTAATTCGTATTCCTAATATTTTCTCTATTATGCTCTGGTTAAGCCCCTTGCACAATGGAAGGAATAGCGATAGCGATAGAAATAACACAGTTTTTAACACAGAATTCCAACTCGTTGGAAATTTTATCGCTATTGCTTATTCCGATTTTCTGATCTGCATTGATACATGTGTAGTTTTGTATGTTAGATTCCGCTGTTCCTATCTTTATTTTTAAATATAAACTCTTTAAAACTTTTGTTATTTCTATCGCTATCGCTATTCCGTCCATTGTGCAAGAGGCTTATTATATATGTATAATACTTCTCGCTTAGTAGACGCGCCTGCGTATAATGACGCTCGACCATCTATGCCCATATTTGGACTTCGTGCGTCTCTCTTTCTCGGGCCTCGTGCCTCTCATTGCGAAGATACGCGACTAGCAATATAGGAGTATTATACAGGGTGTCCCAGAATTGCCGTACAATCTCTCGTAGGCAGGTAGAAGGAGTAAAA